CTTTAATAAATTATAGTGATATACCTAAACCCCTACGTTATGAGTTTAAGAGTATGGTGCCAAGTCCTTAGTTAAGGCATTATACCCTTATGCCCTTTCATTAACATATTTACAAGGTGAAATGAAAGTAACTGTGTCTGAGATTACTATATCTGCACCTCCACAAATACCTTGATATCAGCGCCAACAATGTGCAAAGGATTATATACATTCTGACTTCTGCTAACACAACAGAACTTCCCCTCCTTCTCCTCTCCCTGAACCCTCTCCACTCATCCTCTCTGCTCTTAATTCTCCACAGCAGGTCTGGGCTTGGTGCTTGGGGTAAGGACCAAGGCAAGGTAGTGGAAGTTCCACTGCATGAGCCTAAGTCATTCTACTTGTACAATGACTTAGTTGGATACAACCCAGTTGGGAGCGTGAGAAGAACAGGACTCTAAAAATACAGTGTGATTTTGTGATAGAGTGCTTAAGACTTACAGCAGAATTATGTGCATATCTACTAAGTGCTTAGTTTCAGTGCTTTAAATAGGGCTTACTGCCAGGGAAGAATGTAGCCTAAAAGTTCCTTCCCACATTTACAAGGCCTTAAGGAATATTTGCACACCTCTATTTCATAATGAAATGTGATTCACATTACTCCATTACACCTTTTCATAGCCCAGTTATACTCCACACTATTGAAAACTCCTCTCTTGAAGAGGGTCTTGTATCTGAGGTGATGCATGTGAGATACTGTATAGTTTGATGTAGTAAGGAAGATGGGTAGTGAATGTAATGTATACACCAACAGCTGTCAAATGATTGCCTTATCATAAATTTCAACTTTATAAATCTGTTCAAGTAACCTATAGGCTATAAAGCTTATGCTTTAAAGACAATAAAAGTTAGTCTCTGAAGTACCACCGGGCTCAATCTGTCTTTTCTTGTATTTACAATGTTCCCAAATGTGTTGATTTTAAAAAGAGGAAAACATGTTATCTGTTTCATCTTTTCTATAAGTCCTTAATTTTTCATATGTTTCTCCAAATAAAAGATACCTTTACAAAACCTAAACTTTCTGTGCCTGGAAATTGGATCCCAGAGTGAAAACCCAAGTGCTTATACATATGCACCAGTATTTCCAGTTTTAGTTTGCAGCTTCTTTCTATCAGAGGCTGCCTCCACAAATCACAGAGTACTGGATAAACTCCAAGCTGTTATTGGAAGGGAGTTCAGACACCTCCTTAGGAGTAGGACCAAACTCCCCATTGCCATGTAGGAAATGGCATACCAGCCTAACTCAAAACCTTTGTAATCAAATGAATTCCTAAAGCATCCGTAATCAACTGACCCCAACGGCATGAAACAACTATGTTAAAGTGGTCACCAGATTCTACTTTTAAATAGAACACAGTAACAAATTTGTTCCTCTAGAGCAGGGGTTGTCAACCTGGTCCCTACCTCCCACTAGTGGGCATTTCAGAATTCTAGGTGGGCGGTAGGGGGTTCTATGGCACAAGCTGAATCCTCCTTCCATCGAGCACTGGTGGGCGGTAAGGAAATTTTACCATCAAGAAAGATGCATTAGTGGGTGGTAGGTATAAAAAGGTTGACTACCCCTGCTCTAGAGAAACAATAATGAATTGAACCTAGAGACCTATTCAGGTGCTCTCCCGACATGTATGAGGGGAGAGTAGGCCTTTGCCCATTAATCATGCCCCTGGCTCACACAGACTCAGAAGAATGCGCAAGAAGGGCACCATGCATGCACACAGGCACCCATGGAATGAAGAACCCATAGGATTCCCAAACACATGGGAATCCTTGCCAGTGCCTTTGCAGTTGTTTCTAAAAATCAAAAGCCTCTAGAGACATCTGCAGCAGCCTGAATGAGAAAATTCTGCCTTGTGAGGGGACTCTAATTTCCTCCCTAAACATCTTATGCCACTATTTCCAACATATTGCAAGTCACCTCAAGAGCTTTGGTTAGTAGGGAAGGCCATTAAAATCAACAACAATTTTCCTCCAAGTAGAATCAAGATTCAGTAGCCAACATCTACAGCCCAGTCTAGAAGTTTGGAAAACTGGGGGGATGGATTCCAGTTCTGCCACTGAACTCATCCTGGATAAGAATTAAGTGGTTCTGTTGAAACTCAACATATGTAAACAAACACCAGGAAGGGTAATCCAGACCATCCACCACATATGATTTGCTCCAAGCTTGAGAAGGACTTAGGCGAGAGACCCTTAACCACAGAGGTGCTCTCAACGTTGTTCTTCGCCCATTCCTCCAGTTGCCTATGGTAAGAGCCAAGTGTCAGTGGGGCCCTCCCTGCTTCCTATAAGTGGCACACTGCTCTACCTACCCTTCCTTCTGATCCCAGAGGTCGACCCCCTCAGTGGCAACAAGGACACACTCTGCACATGCTCAGAGTATTCATCCATTATCACTTTCTATGTTCCAGGGAGGAGCTCTAGGGCATTGCCAAAGCAGGGCTCTGGACTTGGAGGCACCGGTCCCAGGGCCGAGACATCACACCACCCCTCTCCAAAATCGGGGCAAAGAGAGCCTGTCAAAGCAGCATCACTGCAGCGCCAACCCGAGCACCTTCCCAGAAGGGACAGCCTCGCCCCCCCCACCTAAGAAAGCTGACAGCCTGACGCCCCCACCCAAAGGCCCAGAGAGCCGCAGCTCTCTGTCCGTCGAGTGAGGGCCCCAAACGCCTCAGCGGGGCGAAAGGAACTGCCAGCCAAGTCGGGGGCTGCGCAGGATGGAGCCCATCCCCCACCAGGCACCTCACACACCAGCACCCCTCACGCGCGCGCCCCCCCCCGCCACTTCCCTCCCGGCCAGTACCTGCTGTGCCTCTGCGCGGCGGAGGCGTTGGTGTAATACGCCGCCCTTCGCTGGGTGCTGCGCGGCACCGGGTGCAGAGGGATTTGGTCCGCCATCTTTCTCCGCCCACCCCCTTCCCCTCCCCCCGCCCGCCGGCTGGCCGCTTCCCCTACTCCCCTCCCTCCCTCTGCCCCGGATTTCCCCCTCCCTCAGCTTAACGGACGGGCGGCGCCGTCACCGCCGACGCCAGATGACGTCACGCGGCCCGCGCGCAGTGCGTCGGTGACGTAAGCGGGCGGGAAGCGGAGGCTTAGTTTTTCAAGAGAGCAAGCGAAAGAGGAAGCGAGGGGCGTGAGGGAAGCCGAGCCAGGCAGAGCGCCGCGTCCAATCAGCTTCCGAGAAGCGCTCGCGCTCCTCCCCCAGCTAGAAGAGAGCGCGCCGGATGGGCGAAGCGCGGAGTTCTGAAGGGGCTGAAGCGGAGCGGGGAAGGGAAAGCGAAAGCCCAGCGGGGTCGTGGCGGGGAAAGGCAGGCGCGGACCCGCGTCTCCGGCGTCTGTGTGGCGCCGCAGAGATCGCAGGATTCAGGCCCGGGTGCCTCTTCCCGCTCAGCGCTGCTGCATTGAGCGTTGGAAAGCTGGAGGAGGAGAAGATGGCAGCTTCACTCCGTTTCCTTGCGGGAGTACCTTCCCGAGAAACACGGGTAGGATCGGGCTGCGCGAAATCTCCCTTGGTGGAGATGTTGCCGATAGTAGAGCGGCTCACGGCACGCCGCTGTGTTTGGTCGGCATCGCCATCCCTGCATGCAGAGACGGTCGGTTCCGCTTCCTCGTTGGCTCGGAAAGTCCCAACGGCAAGAAGTTCAACTTGCAGAACTCCAAAGTCAAGCTAACTCCAAAATAAATGTTGGGATACCCCAACTTACTCCCCGCGCCTTTGATTGCTGCAATAAAGTTACTCAGTTTAAATTACGAGTTGCCGATGGATCTCGCATGGCACAATGATACGTAGGCACGCTAAGTAAGGTACTATAAAGGTAAAGGGTAAAGGGACCCCTGACCATTAGGTACAGTCGTGACCGACTCTGTGGTTGCAACGCTCATCTCGCTTTATTGGCCGAGGGAGCCGGCGTACAGCTTCTGGGTCATATGGCCAGCATGACTAAGCCGCTTCTGGTGAACCAGAGCAGCACACGGAAACGCTGTTCACCTTCCTGCTGGAGCGGTACCTATTTATCTACTTGCACTTTGACGTGCTTTCGAACTGCTAGGTTGGCAGGAGCAGGGACTGAGCAACGGGAGCTCACCCCGTCGCGGGGATTCGAACCACCGACCTGATTGGCAAGTCCTAGGCTCTGTGGTTTAACCCACAGCGATACTATACACACTAACAATAGCCAAAGTACTTTTTAAGTACAGTGGTGCCTCGCAAGACGAAATTAACTCGTTCTGCGAATTTTTCGTCTTGCGAAGCACGGTTTCCCAAAGTCTTCAAAATCACCAAAGTCTTCAAAAACCTAAAAAAAGGCTACCACACCACGTGCTATGAGTTGCTCCTCGAAGTCACCCTGGGTATTAACGGTTTTAAGAAAAAGGAAACAAACTTGCAAGACGTTTTCGTTTTTCGTCTTGCGAAGCAACTCAAAAAACGAAAAACTCTTTCGTCTTGCGAGTTTTTCGTCTTGTGAGGCATTCATCTTGCGAGGTACCGCTGTAACTCCGGTTGCCCCAAACAAAAGATGCTTTCATAGGACTTTAGAAGGGACCATGAAAGCCATCTAGTCCAACCCCCTGCTATTCAGGAATCTTTTGCCCAGCATGGGACCCAAGCTCACGGAGATAAAGAGTCACATGCACTACCAAGGGAGCTCCCCAGCTTTGGGTTGGCACAAGTCACACACCCAACCTAATGAAAGAGTGCCAATGCATTCCCCCACCAGCCCAGAGCTTCCTGGGAGCACGTATGAACATAACGGGAGCCTGCTGGATCAGGTAATAATGGCCCATCTTGCCCAGCATTCTGTTCTCACAGTACCCACTCAGATGCCTGTGGGAAACCTGCAAACAAACTGAGCACAAGAGTACTCTCCTTCAGTTTCCTCAAAGGTTATATTTGCCTTGGGCTTCTTTGCTCTCAGATACTTCAGTTGTCTCATTTCAACAGTTTTACATTGTCACTGCGTAGCCTATAAGCTGTGAGAAAAGGAAAAATCAGGCTGTGTTTTAAGAGGGTGATGCTGGTAAGACACTTCTGATATATGGCCAAACTACATATTCAATTAGTAGTGTTTATTATTTTTTTTTAAAGCAATTTATTGGGTTTTACAATAAAAATAAACATGATAAACAATATAACATTTGTCTTAACATAGTTTCACATTTTCTTTGGACTTCCTCACATCTCCCGCTCCCACTTTCATCGTTATAGCATTTTATCAGCAATTTATCATCTTATTTAAATTCTTATATCCCTTCTATATTTCATAATCTTATAATTCTCGAAAGGAGTTAAGTTTTCACAATCTTACTTGTTTTCTTGAAAAAATTCTAAATTTAGTGGTGCTCAGTTGTTTTAGTCTAGCATCTTATTTAGCATTCACTCAAATTACAATGTTTTTGTAGATAATTCTTAAATTTCTTCCAATCCTCCTCTATCCTCTCTTCTCCCAGGTCACGAATTCTGCCGGTCATTTCAGCCAGTTCCATGTAGTCTATCAGTTGCATCTGCCATTCTTCCAGTGTGGGTAGATCTTGGGTTTTCCAGTATTTTGCGAGAAGTATCCTTGCTGCTGTTGTTGCATACATAAAAATGTCTGGTCCCTCTTTGCCACCCCTTGGCCGACAATACCCAAAAGGAAAGCCTCTGGTTTCTTAGTGAAGGTATATTTAAATACCTTTTTCAATTCATTATAAATCATTTCCCAGAACGCCTTCACTTTAGGGCAAGTCCACCAGAGGTGGAAAAACGTTCCCTCACAATTAGTAGTGTTTAGATAGGGCAAGGCATGTCTCTTTTGTAACAAAAAGCCACAGGACACTCCAATAAAGATGGGGATTATAACGTGGGAGAACAGATTTAATCCTTTCCTCTTTGTGAATAAAATCCTGTTTATTTGAATTAAGTCTTAATAGATATTGCGTAATGTATTCTGACCTTTGCATAGTAATGTATATTGTAATGTATTTTATGTGGGAAGTTTTCTATCTGATCCAGTAAGTTAGTTTAATTGTCAGAAAGGGCTTTAACTAACAGCTGTGAGGAAGGGTTAGTGCTTGACTTCTCAGTATGCAAAAGAAGGATATAAAATACACATGTTTTGATTGGTGGGTGAAGGTTTAGCATTTGAGGTGGACAGCGTGATTGATTGGCAGTGGACTAGAAGGGCCAGAAGAAGCGTATATAAAAATGGGTGCTGGGCATCAGAGGACTTAGTTGGAGTTGAGGATTGAGTAAGTTGGAGTTGTAGGTGCTTTGTGGTGGTACAGCTAGCCAGAAAAAGAAGACAGCAGAGGAAGATGGTTTAGGGATAAGAAGGAAGACCTGAGAGGCAGGTGGAATAGCTTGCTCAGAGTGGGGCAGTCTGATGGGCGCAGTACAGATAATAAAGTTGTTGTTATATACTGAAGACAACCTGGGGATTACCAAATCACTTGGCTTAGGCTGAAGAGACAAGGGAAGAACCTGTCTGCTATACAGAAGGGAGAAGCAGCTCGGAACATTTGTCTCTGCTGACCAGTAAGAGTACCAGAGGTAAAATTTACAGGGTATTTTCCTCCAAGACAAGTCTGTATTTCAATATCCAGTTTCTTTACATTAATCAAAAGTCATCACATGGTGGTAGGATGGACTATACAACTTTAGAGGGAGTTTTTACTTTTCAACATTACCCAACATTTTGTTTTTTTAAAAAAACTTTGTAACATATAACAAATATAGCTCAATGTTTGTAAAAAGGGAAACATTTAAATCGAAAGCTCTCCTCCTTTGCAGCACAACGTTCTGCTACCCAGTTTTGTTTGTCATATATGTAGCAGGCCACAATGTCCCTGCTAAAATACTACCATGAAATTTCCAGTTTATTGATAAACGTCTGCTGCTGTGATGTTTCCTTTTCCTGCTAGGCTGCTTTTATTTCATGTGTGCTACTATGTGCTACATCTTGGCTCACTCGCTGCTTACACTCTCAGGCATGCAGAACTACTTTTAATACCAGTGGTATGAGCAGCCCCAAGCAATGAGACATTTGAGGGGCAATGCAATTGATTTAAACTTAGCTGGGAAGTAAGTCCCATCAAGCTCAGTTCTTAGCACAATCTTCTCAGAAAGAAGAGTCACAGAGTTCAATAGGGCCAAAGAACACTGTCTGCTCAAATCCATTCATGTGTACTCAACAATATTGGTTTCCTTTAGGTTGCAGAATACCTTATTTATTTATGTGTATTATTTATAGGTTATAGCAAAACAACAAGAAAGGTATAACAGCATAAAAACAGTCAGAGCTAAGACAAAATAAAAGACATGGGAAAGGACACAATTACAACAAAGTAGACACCAGGTGATCCTCTTTTGGGGTATCCACCAGCCAGGGTACCACCACTGTAAAGTCTCTCCTGCTGCCACCAAAAGTCTTACAGAGAACATCTCCAGAAAACATCTCAAGATCCAGTTAAGTATATATGGGAAGCATTGATTATTCAGGTAGTCTGGTCCCCAAACCACGAAGGGTCACAAAACAGGAGCTCCACCCTATCCCTAAGAGATAATTCACAGATGAAGGGAGAGGAGCAGCAGTTTTTGCCCCTTACAGTAGGGTTGCCATATTTCAAAAAGTGAAAATCCAGACACCAACAAAGTTACAAGCTTCAGTTAATCCCCCCGCCCTGGACATCACTTCCACCTTTGAAGTCCAAGTAATGTCTGGGAAATCCAAAAAGATGACCTAAGTCTCTTATCTCTGATATTTTCACTGCAATGTAGCAAGATACTTCCGTGCCACCATATTACACATATTAATATAGCATTTCAAGGCGATTCACTTAGCCAGCCCCCACCCTTGCTTTATGCTCCCTCTCTATTCTCAAAGTCTCAAAGCAGAAGTGTAACTTGTACACTTGCGAAAGACTCATTTTAGACACCTTCCAATTAATATTTTCTACGTTTCAATTATGACTGCCTTATCAAGTCCACTCAGAAGAGAAGGCACAACAATTATTTATAATAACTTTGCTAGCTATAATTTCCGCTTCTCTCTGAAAGCGCCAATGGATGTTTCTAGACGCTGCATGTTAAACAGAAGTGCTTGCACTTGACCTTGCACTCCATCCACTCTCTCTGCACAGCGGTAGCCCTTTCTTCCCTTGAAAGACAGGTGCAATTTGTAGTCACACAAATTATACAGTCCTTGCTATTAACATTCTTTTATCTAGTAAATTACTTACATTGATTATCCCGAAGAAGAGTCTATGAAATGTTGCTAGTGCATGTCTATGATTTGGCTGTAATATATAATTCTTAAATTAAGACAAGGCTGAAAAGAAATGACATCTTGTGGTAGCAGATGCTAAATTCAGATCTTGGTCACATGCAGTCATTAAACACCCTGTGTTACTCTGCACAAGAATATGTGCGCTTGGCCCTGGTGTCCTGGCTAAATTCCAATTCAGGTAATTACTCTGTCTACCTAATCTCCCCTGTAGTTCCAATTGGATAAGTTATGGTGTTTTCTTTTTGGCCTCATGCTTCAGATTGTTTAGCTGGTCTTCCAAGGCGCTGGTGAGTTGTATGCTTGTGTTCCACAACAGAATCCGCTGCTCTTCATCTGCGCAATATCAATGGCGTCCTTGAGTTGATTAAAAATGTACTGTTCCCTTAATAGTGTTAAACGTACTGCTTCTCAACTACAGCCTGAGGTAGCTAAGTTGGAAAGGGCAGGCTGATGGCCTAAACCCTTCTCTGTCCCTCCACCGCACATTCTCATCAGCTCACCCCTCAACATCGGCTCCAATCCCGGAACCAGTTTAGAAAATGCACAAAAGAACCCCCAAAATTCTGAAAACACACTTTCATTTCTGGCAAATCCAGGCCAACAGCCCTACTCTTCTCATAACTACTATCCCCTAGATTAGAATGGGGTCATCTTCGCCAGAGTTAAACTGGCAGTAAGAGGCAGTTTGTCCTTAACTAGAAATCATTCTTACTCAGTGCTATTTTTCTAGAAAAAGGGGCGCTGGAACTCACTGTGAGCGCCTCATTCTCTTGGACTGACAATGGCACCCACCTGAGAGGCGCTGGAACTGAGTTCCAGTGAGTTCCGACTGAAAAAAAAGCCCTGTTCTTAATGTAATTGTTATAACAGTATGGAAGCGTGGGGGGGGGGGGGGAGACATGGGTGGCAACCAATTTGGGAAGGAATAATCTACCCTTCTTGATTTTGAAAAGTAGCAACACACCTCTGGCTTTAGCTAAAGAGCTGACTCTGACTGTAGTGCAGTGACTGTAACTAGCACTTTAGGTTTTATAATCCCATGTACTAGTTAAAATGTTATTTATAATGCTTATCCTCAGTGTTATTTTTCGGGGGGGGAGGTGCCAGAACTCACCTTGTTCTCTTAGAATGGCAGTGGCGCCCACCTGAGAGCCGTAGGAACTGAGTCCCTGTGAGTTGTGGCTGAAAAACAGCCCTGCCTCTCCTCTTCACAACCTGCCCATGCTCTTAGGTTATCTGCCAATGTCCTCCCCTCCCTGTGTCCCTTTCCAGCCAAAAGTGAAGGTGGTAGCAATTAAAGGAGGATATTTTGTAGCACCCTGACTATGATTACATGTGAGGATAGCCTCCAGTAGTCAACACTGCTTTCTATTCAACACAAACAACCCTTTTTATTCAGCTTAGCCTGTACTCAGTGTAGTGCTAAGGAAGGAGTTCTGCTTGTGCAGAACACGCCCCCCCCCCATGTACCACTAAATCTGTTTTCCCCAATCCTCTGGAGCAGATTTGGGCAGGATACGGGATGTGCAGGTAGAGGGATGAGGGGGACACAAGCCCCATTTGACAAGCATAAATGTTTGTACCGATGGAACTTTGTAAACCACACTGGACTCAAATTTGATAAAGCTAATAATAATAATAATAATAATAATAATAATAATAATAATAGACAGGCGGAACAGTAGATAGTTGTCCAGTGACTTCTGTCTATGCGCAGGAAAAAGTCCCAAAGGAATTAATTGTCCCACTACAGTGGTACCTCAGGTTACATACGTTTCAGGTTACAGACTCTGCTAACCCAGAAATAGTACCTCGGGTTAAGAACTTTGCTTCAGGATGAGAACAGAAATCGTGCTCCAGTGGTGTGGCAGCAGTGGGAGGCCCCATTAGCTAAAGTGGTGCTTCAGGTTAAGAACAGTTTCAGGTTAAGAACGGACCTCCGGAACGAATTAAGTACTTAACCCGAGGTACCACTGTACTTTTCCAGCTCTTGTATTCACCATGAACAAATAATAATTCTATTTTCCAAGTTTTAGTTCAAGCTGTCTTACACATGGGCAGTTCAGGTGCTTTTTGGGGGGTGGGGGTGGGGACTTAAAACCCAACCCGAGAACTTGCAGTTCTGAAGACTATAGTAAGTGAAATCTCAAATCAAGCTAGTTGGACCACAGCAGCCCATTCTGCTGTAGTAAATGTTGTGGCAACGAGTATCAAAAACACCAAAATGAAGCAAATACGTAGGAAGTGAAACCTATTAACCTTTGGGCGTGGATTCAGCTGCAATGTCTGCAGCACAATCTATACTTTCCATCTTGGGTTTATGTAGTCATCAACAGAACTACAATAGGAGCTGAACTGATATCTTTCAGCATCGACGGCTTAGTCTATCGTTTAATAATGGATGCTTTGTGCAGTTCTTAGATGAAAGATCTTGTTTTATCTAGATAATAGGAATGTAAGCCTTTGTCCCTCAGAACTGAAATGTGTGTGTGTTTAAGGGAAAGGGATGTCATCTGAGATCAAAGAAATCTGAATTGTGTAAGTTGAAATTGATTACTCAGTTAGATCTGCATAAGTTGGCCTATAATAAATATTATACCAAAGGAGGGGATTTTTTAATTTTTTATTGGTGTGGTTGCTTTTAGATCATGCAGCAGACACCAGCTTAGAAGAGGGCTTCACCCAGTTTTAATGGGGAAATGGCTGCCTCTTCTAAGATGAAACACATTCTTTAAAAACAACAGCAACAATCTGCCATCCAATTAATTTTTAATAGTTATAATAAAATTAAGCAATGAGCTGCTGAGCCAATGCACCTGCAGTCTCTGTGTTTTTCCTTGCTTTGCTTACTTTATTATTGCATTTATATCCCTCATTTTCTCTAAGCAGCTCAAGGTGGCATACATGGTTCTTCTCCCCATTTTATCCTCACAACAACTATGTCTGGTAGATTGATTGGCTGGTAATATCCATGGGAAAATGGCATGTCCATGTAAGGTAGGTGGTATCGTCCTAAGCTACAGGACTCCTATTCTGACTCTCTAGAAGCCACATATTATTACTTTTATTTTTTAATTTTTTTATTATAATAATGAGACTTTTACAAATCATGACAATATCTAGAACGGCTTATTTCCATGCATACATTTGTCCTTCTGCATTCTTTAATTTATTAAGTATGTACTAATAGTAATTCTATTTTAGTGAAGTGTTATGAAAACTTTTCAAGTTATTCTCTTTGCATGGATCTTTGATTCTCTCTGAGCAATATTTTCTGTTGGATATAATGCATTCTTTATTCAGCATTTGCTATTTGTGATATATACGGTATATCCTATAGTGAATATTGTGAAGGTTTGCTTTACGATTTGGTAATAATAGTTGCATGAATAAACGCATTAACAAATTTTCATTCCTGTCATAACACAAATGTTTCCACTAGCTTTCATTATTTTTAATACTCAAAGTCTCTGTATGCAGTCTTTGAAATATTTCATGAGACTAGACATAATGTTTACTTATTCCAGATGTTGTCTGTTCCTCATGTATGGGTGGGATACAAAACGACATTTTTAGATCATTATCCTATTGTGGCCGTGTCACATGGAATGTTTCTGCTTCACGGTGTGCTGGGTTATCCATCACACTTTCCAAATTTAGAAAATGCTAGTTTTTATTGCTATTATCACCAGTTATTAGTGAGCTTTGCTGTTTTCCAAAGCACATCTAGATCACATGACTTCCCTCAAAGAATCCTGGGAACTGTAGTTCCTCCCTCACAATTACATCCCCCAACATCCTTAATACTCTACAGTTCCCAGGATTCCTTGGAAAAGTCAGGTGCTTTAAAGGTTTGTGGGAGCTGCTTTAAAATGTCTGGCACACATATGCTGTACAAATTTTACAGAAAACTAGCTTCCCTCAAGCGTAAAAGTTCATTCTTCTGAACAATAGGATATACTGGGCATGTATAGTTGTGATCCTGCATTATTTGTACATGTATTTCTCCAGAATGGAATATTTCCATTTGGCAGGGCAATGTGAGAAATGACCCTCAATAAACAGTACTTACAGCCTGGTCCAAATCAGGGTTTTTTTGGGGGGTGGGGGGAGAAATCCCAGAAAACTCAGTGGAATTTTCTTCTGCAAATACATGTTTAGGATTAGGTTATAAGGCTGTAATTCTAATAGCACAATCCTGTGCATGATCATAAATAAGTTCTACGGCCTTTGATGGGGCTTATTACCAGGAAAGGGAGCATGCAATCTTGTGCCCACTTACTTAGGAGTGAATCTCATATAACATAGTGAAGCCTACTTCTGAAAAAATATGCATAGGATTGTGCTACATATTACTTACCTGGAGGTCAGATTCTTTCTTCAGTTGGGTTTACTTCCTTGTAAATATATATTCGCCAGCTGTGGCCCCATCTAAAGAAGGCAGACCTGGCACTGCTTGTTATGTTCAGTTTGGATGACTGCAGTGCCCTCTATGATGGTTGTGCTTAAGGCAGTTCAAAAACACCAATGAATTCCAAATGCCTCCACCAGGATGCTGGTAGAAGCAGGAGAATTGATTGGATCATATTGCAACCTGCTTCGTACACCATTTAGACAGCTTGCCAATTTATTTCCAGAATCAACTTAAGGTTGCTAGGCTGTCATCATTTGCCTTTAATGCCCTAAGCGGTCTGGTCCCCCATTATCAGAAGCAGGTATGAGAAATATGTGGTCCTCGGGATATTGCTGCTGCTATTATTTATTTACTTTTTTTAAAAAAAACGATTCTTCAGAAAGTGCACAGATCCATGTTCATCAAACAAAATCCAGCACATAGAGCTCAAAGCGTATATACACTAAAGAGTTAGGAACAAATCATTAAAAACTAAAGCCCATATATTGCCAATGAGGAATACACATCCCATTTGTCAAGCTGCAACAGCCTAACCAAATAAAAATGTTATCAAATGGCCTCTGAAACCCAACAATGTGGGAAACAGGCATGCCACTAAGGGGATATTGTTCGACAGTCAGGGGCCCACCACTGAGAAGGTAGGTCCCTCAGTCTAAATATCCCCTCATTCTGAATTATGACAGGGACTGTGAGCAAACCCCACCCCCGCCAAATCTTGAAGACTGATTAGCTAGTATTGGAAGGGGGATTTTGACCCTGAACCATTTAGGACTTTGTAAACCATAATGCCTTAAGTCAACTCCAGTAGCACACATGCAGCCAGTGCAGAGCATCTAGGATAGCTGTTCCACGATCCTGTCTTTCTTGTCCCAGCTAATAACATGGCAGCTACATTCTGCACTGGCTATAGATTCTGGACCATTTTCAAATGCACCCCAAGTAAAGTGCATCACACTAATCCAAAGATGAGGTCTCTACAGCATGGGCCACTGATGGAGGATAATCCTGGTCCAGGAATGATAATAGTTGGGCTGTAGATGGAATTAGGCATTCCTTGCCACCATCACTTACTTGCTCCATTCTAGCCAATCGTAAACAGGATGTCCAATTTGCCAGACCATCCACAGTACTTCCATCTTATCAGCATTCATCCAGGCTATCACCGGCTATCATGGCCAATGGTCAGGGATGATGGGAATTGTAGTCCAACAACATCTGGCGGGTTCCACAGGTGCTCCATCCCTAAGCCAAAGGATCACCAGCCTACCTGACATTTAAAAGAATCATTTCAGCCTCTGATCTCCCTTTAAATCAGACTCATTTGGTAAGTACCAGTGACAGGGCCTTTTCCACAGTGGAATCTGTATTACAGAATTCTCCTGCTCTCGGGAAGCAAGACAGACCACCTCTCTTTGCATTTCAGCATGCTTTGAAAGAGGAGCTGTTATTTTGGATGGTATTTTCAGTGTAAGCAGTCTTGTAAAAAGACTTTCTAAAAAGTGGAGTATTAATCGATAAAACGCAATTTTGGAAATAGGATAGCATCTGTATGCCAGGCTATTAAAGGGGACAATGTTTTCAAAAAGCAGATGATCAGCAACGGAATTTCCTCTACCACCCACCACGGCAAGGTCTTTCTTTATGACATTTTCAGCACAGTCTCATTTTGCCTACTGATATTTTAAAGCCTGAAAGGAACAGAAACTAACCTCCATGTATTTTGCTCAAATGACTATGGCAAGAGATAACTATCGTTCTATAACTGGCATCTGAATTGAAAACTATTGCAGTAGGTACAGTGCTCCTGTCAGTATAAACAGTCATCGTGCCACGGAGGATGTGCAAACATTAAGTTCATCAGGAGTTAAAAAAACCAAAAACTGTCCATATGCCTACCGCTGGGTATCCAAAGTCTGGCTGAGCAGAGAGCGGCAGAATGAGAGGGAAAAAACACAACCCAATAACTTGAAATATCTGTTTCACAGTCATGAACATCTGTCTCCTCTTCAAAAGTAACATAGGGTAATCTGGATATATATTCCCAGAGTGGAATTTGGGTAATTCAGATTAGAAGTAATTCTTGATGTTTTAAGGAGCCTCTTTTATTACAAAAGAAATAATTACACAACCCACCAGCACAGTACACACGAAAGCAGAAGTTGAAGTTTATTTAGCAAGAAACCTCCTGGCAGATGCTACAACAACTGGGGCAGCTAAATTGTCTTGAATCAATAACTTCCTACCAGATTGGGGGGTGGAGGGAGATGGGGGGGGGGGAGAGACCCACCATCCTTTTCCATCTTAAGTCTTCAGTACATTTAGATACACAGACAGTTCCATATCTGCCCTGGAAATCCCAGGTGTATTCCGTGTAACTTTAAACATGTTTTTCCATCCACGCTTTTATTATTTCCTTATATAGCCTTATAAGGAACCTCAGGTAGATTCATATTTGTCTTTGACTTGACCTTCAATTCCTGTAATGGGTATCCCTGCTAACATAGTGACACCCTAGCTGTCCAAGCAATTTAGCAAGGCATCTTTCAGGTAAGAATATACAGGTGCCTGCCACTTACATTTAGCTAATTGGTATGGCAACTGTTGTATGTGCATAAAGACAGCATATTTTCAAATATGCTTTTTCTTCCAATTTGTAGGAGAAAGCAGTTCAGTTAGAGGAGGGTCTTCCATTCCCAAGTTCTGTATATGCTCCATGTGTTCATTTTTCTAAAAGTGTCTGAAGACATCCAAACTTCCTCCTTTCATTTAAGCTTTCATTTTGGTTTCATTTCAAAGAAACCTAATCTCTATTTTGGATTCCTTTGCATATGGACATTTCCATAACAGCTGAAAGTGTGCATTTTACTGGGTGTGATACAGACCTTAATGTGAACTGATGCTCATCAGACCTGCTTACTTCAGCACCATAGATATGAATGAGCTAAGATTTCCTTTAAATTCTGTGTTTAGTCTAAAAGCTAATGTCGCAAGACTGTGGTTCTGAAACCTGGCCCTCCCAAGGGATCCAGCTGAAAATTGCTGAGGATATTTAATGCAATGGATTTGCCATCTCTTGTTTCAACCACAAATCCACAGGCATGTTGCAGACTACCTGAATGAACCTTGCAGACTACTAGTGGTCTGTGGACCACAGTTTGGGAACCCCCGTTATATAACATACCTCTATACTGCAATCATCATCTGAGACACTCTTATGAGCGCCCTCTGTGAGAAACCTGGAGGGTGGCAACATAATAACAGGCCTTTTCTGTGGTGGCTCCCCATCTGTGGAATGCTCTCCCTAGGGAGGCTCACCTAGTGCCTTCATTGCATATCTTTAGACGCCAGGTGAAAACGTTTATCCATAAGCAGGCCTTAGGCTGACTGAATATTCTATGGCCTTCTAAATGGGATGGGGAGGCGGTTATTGGTTTGCTTTTGTTTTGTTATGTATGTACTCATTTTGTCTTTTTATGTTGTGAACCACCCTGTTATTTTCAGATGAAGGGTGGTATACAAATTTAATAAATAATAATAATAAAAAGGGCATACCAGTGCTATTGAATCATGTCCTCCTTAATGCTGTAAAATCATGGATTGAAATCTATTGAGCCATTTTAACTGATTATCTTCCAGGCTCGTTTAAAGTATTCCACCACATGTCTGAATGGGACAAGGTGTATTTTAAGTTCTGTGTTGTACTGAATCTGAGAGCAGCAGTTACAGAGCATCCTGACACGCCACTGATACTGTGTTGCATTTCTAGAGCTATAATATAAGAAATCAAAATCTATGTATGCTGCAATGCATTGATCATACAGTTGTTTAAGAGCAAGCAGCCCAGGACTGCAGCCGTTGAATGGGAATGCAAAGGGCATGTTGTCAACAGATGGTACAAGTCTTATAAAGGTCAAGTAATCTGCATCCATTTTGTTGACAATACGTTTTGGAATCATGACTTGAGATCCCTTGTTTCTCATCATCAAATATGCTGAACAACCATAAATCCATTTAATTAATTCATAAATCCGCAGGACCCATCAAGTTACAGGTTTCCTGAAAGTGTCTGAAGTCTGCTATCTAAAAGTCAGCCTGCGCCCAAAGTCACCTTCTTACATGTGCCTTGATCTTTTATATTGCAGAAAGACAAATTAATGAAAACATCCACACCTGCAACTGCCGTTTCAGAGATCATCAGATAGTACCTTGCAATTGTTCTATTATTGGGAATTAGAATAAAGTAGAAATATGGATGGTTTCAATAGCCATTAAAATAGGATACACTACTCTGTCTCCCAAGTCCTAAGATGTTAGCAGAGAAAAAGCTGCTGAATTTATTATCTGTTCTGTCTTCTTCATACCATTTTGGAACTCCGCAGGATAGTTGTATAAATTGTTTAGTTTTGTGGTGCTGGCGGTCAGCTGCATGGTCACATGGCCAGTGTGGAACCTTAGCTTTCTCAAAATCAGCAGGCATATTTACCTCTCGTGTGCGAGGTCTCTTGGAAAGGACTTCAGTTGGACAGGGAATGGGGCATTTGCATCCTTTTCCCCATCCATTTCTTTCTCGCTCCTTTGGTCTTCTGAATTCCAGCGGGAAAACTCTCAAATGGAGCTAAGTTGTGAGACACATAATATGAAAGCAACCTTAGATGCTCTGTGCCTCCGCAGCTATTTTTTGAGTTGAAGCAACCTCTACCCTTCTGGTTAAATCTAAAGCATGCTTGCGTGTAACAATTCTTGGATGTCAAACCTAGTGCTTGTTAAATCTCTTATTTTCCCTACAGGAGCCTAACAATGCTCTGGATGTGTTTGGTTTAAATTACAGATAGGTTACAGCTAAGTGTCCATTAAACTCATAAGAAATTAGAGCCTTCCTGGCTCAGGGGTGCCGACCTGCCCCCCACATTGAGGTGCAGTGTCTTATTGATGTCATGTGCAGTCAGGGTGTGTGTGTGTGTGTGTGTGTGTGTGTGTGTGTGAAAACAAGGCACCCCCCACAGAGATCCCCATTGCACCCTGCCAGCGGGAGCTGGGGAGTACGGAGGATAAAAATCACATACTTCACAATTATAGCAGTGTTCTATATAAAACTATCCCAGCTTAGAATCATAGAATTGCAAAGTTGGAAGGTACCCCAAGGGTCATCTAATTCAACCCTCTGAAATGCAGGAACTTCAACACATGGTCTCCCATCCAATTTGAAACCAATGTGGACCCTCCTTAGCTTTGCAAATATGCCAGCAGTTTTATTCCTGCACCACTAGGAAGAATCTAAAAGAATAACCTTTAGTATTGGGACATTTTAGCGTCTTAGCCAGGTAACAAAGGCATCTTCCTGCATATTAGGGTATACCAAAACTTTAGAGTGTTCATGTGACATATGGCCACTTGAAAACACAGGAACACGAATCTTAGGCTGGAACTAGACACATCAAATAAGCGTTTCAGTTCAAAACGTTGTAAATTTAAACAGGGAAAACAGGTAGCGAAAAACAGTACTCCATGTTGCCATCTGGTGGCACAGTGTTATATCGTACATACAACACATATAAATCGCTTGTTCACCTGTCTAGCTGAGTTCATAGGGTTGGCTGCTACTGTCTGAGGAGCAGATTTGCCATGGAATTTTCTGAAGGTCCAATGACATGTTAATCATGTATTTGCCATTGTATCAAGTGATTTTTTTGGGGGGGGGTATAACTTCTCCATAGGATTTGAACAATGAAGATTCTCAAAATTATCACCCCATTGGACCTGAAAATGCTTAGAGGATTTCTGACCAAAGTAATTTCCGAAGAGAAATTCAAAACTCTATGATACTGTATGTTCTTTGTCAGTAACAGTTACATTCCTCTCCACTTAGCAGTTATTTAGTAAGTCAGCAACCAGATTCTTCTGTCCTGCTGCTAAGGTTTTTATTAATAATCAGCGTATTAGTTCTCTCAGATCTTTCCTTAAGTGTCTCTTGCCAGCTTTTACACCAAAATAATAAGTGTAGCCAACCTATCAATAACAGGCATAGGCAAACTCGGCCCTCCAGATGTTTTGGGACTACAGCTCCCATCATCCCTGACCACTGGTCCTGTTAGCTAGGGATGATGGGAGTTGTAGTCCCAAAACGTCTGGAGGGCCGAGTTTGCCTATGCCTGATCAATAACTTAGGAGCAGGGAGCCAATGTGTGCTGTATTACGTGCAGTGTTTAACGATACACCTGAGTTACCTTTGGACCAGGCCACATGCAGGCCTCAGGGCCTTTTTTGGGTGGCTCTTGCTAAGTACTGAAGCTGCAGGGAACTGGAAGTGACGACCTGAAAGCCTTGCCCTGGACCACAGCAGGCTGCCGGTTCCAACAAAAAGTGGAGGGCGAACAAAAAGGAAAGGAAAGGAGCAATATGCAGTTTCTCCAGCCAAGCCAACCTTGTAGGAGCCGGAGTGGGCATTTGGAGAGGATCCCTAACTTGGGCTAGAGAGGGTGACTGTGGGTGGGTGGGTGTAAGAATGAATGAATGAATGAATGAATGAATGTGTGTGTGTGTGTTTCTGGAAGCGGCAAAGGAGAAGAGAAGGGGTGAAATGGCAAAAAAAGAAGAAAAAGCAGAGTGCTGTCTGGGTGTGCATGTTGCATGTTTTGGTAGCGGCGCTGGAAGCGGGAGCAGCAAAGGCAGAGAGAAGGGGGAAAGGGCAAAAAAGCAAAGCAGGACTTTGCTAATCTGCCCAGGCTGCAGCTTGCTCATTTGCATGCTCCCCCCCCCCCCAGTTGCCCCGCTGAGACCTGGTAAGACTTACTTTCTCCCTCTCCCTTCTCTTTTCTGCCTGGAGTCCTGTCTGCATCCAGCAACTCCACTCACACTTGGTGGCCTTTTAATTTTTTTTAAAAAAGAACAGCTCTGTTTAATAAAGAAATATATTAAATCAATTAACTGTGTAATCATATATATATTTAACTAAATATATTAATCTCGTATATTAAATAATATTAACTGTATTGCAAACACTTTAATTTATGGTATGGAGATTTAATTCAGTGTGTGGCTCCTGGGTTCTGTGTCAAAGTGCTCTTGTGGCCCACTTGGTCTGAGAGGTTGGACCACTCTGCTTTAGAACAGACTACTCTCAAAAGGATGGGGTAAAATATTCAGGGTTCTTTTAATTACAAATCCTAAAAACAAAACACAAACGAAGTATTGGGCACATGGTAATTTCACTTCCTTACCTGCCATTTTGGAATGGATATTTTAGGTCTTTATTTCTGCTGAAAGTCTAAATGTACGTTTCAAATTGGCAACTTTAAATTAAAGCAATAAACAAAACATGATTTGTAAAAATCCTAATCCATTTGAAATCCGTTATTTGCAATGAAATACAGTATTTGAAACGAAATTTACTTCTACAGTGGTACCTCGCAAGACGAATGCCTCGCAAGACAAAAAACTCGCTAGACGAAAGGGTTTTTTGTTTTTTGAGCTGACGATTTTCGCTATGGGCTTGCTTCGCAAGACGGAAATGTCTTGCAAGTTTGTTTCCTTTTTCTTAACACCGTTAATACAGTTGCGACTTGACTTCGAGGAGCAACTCATAGAACACGGTGGTAGCCTTTTTTCAGGTTTTTAAAGACTTTGGTGATTTTTGAAGCTTTTCCAAAACTTTCCCGACACCGTGCTTCGCAAGACAAAAAAAACCGCAAGATGACAAAACTCGCGGAACGAATTAATTTCATCTTGCGAGGCACCACTGTACTTAAATTTCATTAGGATTGCAACCTTGGCCTTGCACTGTTCTTTGAGGGAAAAGGCTTCATAAGACAATGCTATTGCATTGTTAGTGAAAGGCTTGTTGGTTGTTGCTTTTTAATGTTTTAATCTGTTTAACCTGACAAATTACAGTGGTACCTCTGGTTACGTACTTAATTCGTTCTGGAGGTCCGTTCTTAATCTGAAACTGTTCTTAACCTGAAGCACCACTTTAGCTAATGGGGCCTCCTGCTGCGCCGCCGCCAACACACGATTTCTGTTCTCATCCTGAAGCAAAGTTCTTAACCCAAGGTACTATTTCTGGGTTAGTGGAGTCTGTAACCTGAAGCGTATGTAACCTGAAGCGTATGTAACCCGAGGTACCACTGTATGGTGATCTTGGTCCTTTGCTTCACCAGTGCAGAGCAAGTACAGCAGCTTTGAAAGCAGGTATCTTTTCACATCATTATTATTTTATTTAGTAAGTACAGAATCAGAAAACTGATTTTGAACGTCTGTTTATTATACCCCTTGTTTCTCTACCAAGAAACTGAAGCGTTACTTGTGGATAAAATAGTAATAATATGCCCTATATTTCTACAGGAACAATTTCCTGCTATGAGGCTGGGAGTTTCAGAAAGCATATCTGCTTTTCCCAACATAATTTTGAAACAGAAGTCGGGACTAAATAAAGTTGTTTTGGTTTGAAAACACAATTGCTCCTTTATTTTTTATTTTTTAAAAAGAACAAACTCTGTCTGTAACCAGTTTTCTCCTGAATCTGGACAAAATTTCTGAAATATTAAGCACTCCATAAACATAATTTTTTACTATTCATAGTTTATTTCTGTTTCATACATTTTCTTTTTAGTGGCATTTTTTGTTGTAGGTATTTTGAAAGAATGTATTGCTTACATAAATTTAAAAAGGGAGCCCCTTTCTAAGTGGCAATTTCTGCACTAATGCACCCACTGTCTTTCTCAAAGGTCTTGCAGCTATTTGGTGTGGTATAAAGCTGGTATGAGCATCGAACAGCCAGGAAACGCTTGCTACGGGGGAACTCACCTATGTTAAATTAAGCATTATAAAGCACATTGCACTTTGTAAGCGATATGCTTAATATTAATAATAATAATAATTACAAAATGCATTTGCTTTTTCTATGTCCTGATGAATTTATTAAGAAAGATGGAAAACCTTACATCTGCACGACCTTGGCAGAGACACAGAAGCATGTTATTCAGAAGGGGTTCAGGAACCACAGCAAAATAAAATGGCATCCTTATTTATACTTGTAAAAAAGCAAAGTGTTGCGACCTGTTTTAATTACAGGAACTGGTGAACAGAACAACATCACTGTCACTGAAGAAAAGGGCGGGGGATTACTAGTTTGCCTGAGCATCCATACTTGTGTTAATTTTGCTATACTATTTAGTGGAACATAGATAACAAAGTGGAAAGAGAAGACATTAACAGTATAATTTAGGGGATTAGAGAGAAATATTCGTATTACATAAATGGGAAATTTATAAGTGAACCATTTTAATGATCCACTCCTGTTTCTCTAACATATTTGTAAGTGTTTAGTGAGTTACAGGCTGCCTTTCATATATTTGTGGAATTCCAACATGACTTTCCACCCATATTAATCTATGGCAGGCAAAAACAATTTTTTTTGAGGATTTCTGCCCCCGCCCTCCAACAAGCCAGAGGCACCTGCAGTCCTTGTCATGTTCTCGTCTCCAATGGTCTATAACACACTCTGGTTAAGTTTTCATTTCTACTTTTCAGCAGCTTCTGAGGAGTGATATGTAGCTAATGTCATCAAAGCTTGCACTTTAACATTGCAACTGTAAAGCCAACCCCGGGCGTTTCTGTATCAAAAGCACAGTGGCAAAATTCTCATAAAACTCCGTGAAATAAAAGACCTTGGCGTCCTGTTACAATTTGTAGAGACCAAAAAAACCTTTCCTCAGACTTCTTGCGAACGGTTTAAGTCCAAGTTCAAAAAGATAGGCTGCGATGGTTAAAACTGCTCTATTGCTGCAAGAACATTTACTGCGAGAGCTACGATTCACTTATCTCACTGCTACACATTAGCAGCCAATAGCACTATTTCAATCTTGCAAGGTACATATGCACAAATGGCTCGCTCTATAGAAAATTCTCTGCTGATAATAAAGCAAGGGGCATGGCATGTCTTCCAGTTATTCACTGGGATCCACAAACTCATGTATTCATGATCTGTGCAACCCCCTTTAGGCTTTTCCTGCAATTTTAACTTCAGCAGCAACTTCGTTTCAGCATGAATGAAAACAGAAATAAAAAGGGGGGGAGGGGAGGGGAGACCTGGATGTGCATTACCTATAGTGTGTGCATCGTTGCATCTCTTGTTTCACAGTCATTGAGAATAAATATGCAGTGTAGTTTGTGTAAATCACATTTAAATTTGTGTAAATTGAAAAAGGCACAATTGCACCCAAGGGAGACAAGCAGAAGAGGACTGCGGCAGAGCACCGTTGTTTTGATCCAGCTTTTATTCCACTGCTGATGTAGTATTTATCTGCAGAACTCTGTGATTTCATTTCATTTTTAACTGCAAAAAGTGGTTTCCCAATGCTAGTTCTTTGGACTCTGTTCAAATTGTGTGAATCCAAGATTCCAGCCATATTTATATTTCGTACCTGACAGTTAAAAGCCATGAACATCCATCTCCCACATCTCACTCTGCTGTTAGAATAATCATGGAACACAATTCGGAAATAATATTACATCCTGCATTTTATTCAATTCCATATGACAAAAATAGGAACCTAGACTAAGACATCCATTTCAATCAGTAGATGTGTCAAGCCAACAAGATTTAATAATAAAAAATATTGGATCTAGGTAACAATTCCCAGGTGGTTCAGGGAGGCTCCTAGCCCTACATGGTATCGCAGTATAAAAATAGTGTCTCTCTTCACCATGCAGAGAGGAATGACCTAACCCTGAATACAAAATGGGGTCAGTCTTACTGTACCTTCATCAGCCATCTTATTTACAACACTTTACATCTCTTTTTAAGTTATGCACATCCTTTAGGGAGAAGAGATAACACTACATGGTACCAAATACTAAACAAAAACAAAAAAAAATTATTTCACACCAGAAATGGACACAGATAAATAAAAACATTCATTTGCTGAAAAACAGCAACATTAAGCCACCTCAGTTTTCTTTGTTTCCCAATTTTGAAACACCCCAAACACAAATGGTGGTCACCGATGGTTGGTGTTATAATATAAGGATGTTTATTTTCTATATATATTCTATATATATATCTATATGTATATATATACACACATACATACCTACATATATATTTGATATATGCATGTATATATGCACATATATATTCTGTGTATCACTGCTGTAGAAAACAGAGCTGTAATAGTTCATTGTTCATTTCAAAACAGAAACAAACTGCTAATAAGTCTTTTAAACTTTTCATTCAATGACACGATGGCAGAAACAGTCCATCCTCTTACAGTAATGTGTTTTTTTTTGTTGCACAAGAAAGCGATTGTCCTATTTTATTTTTTTCCATCTCAACTGAGAAGACCTCACTGTCTGATTCTTTCTTCAGGGGCATAAAACGTCTTGTGCTGTTTCCCAGCTACCCATAATGTCCCTTGAACAATTTTGTTGGACGGAAGTTCATAGTGTCAGACTCCACCATGCTTGTAATGCACAAAAATGAGGTAGTACACAAAACATTTACTGTTCAAGTTTTGATTTACGCCCCCAGCCTCGCCAACACCCTAGCGTAAGAGTGGAAACATTCCCTTTTGTCACAATTTTAAACAATGCTTTTAAAACAACTGAAAATTATATTTGAATATTCAGAATACATTGTGCTTTGTAGTAAATATGGGAATTATTATTATTATTTTTAAAAAAAGAGATCAGTAAGAGTTGGGAATTTACGTTCAAGTTACGACTGATACTTAATATTTTTGTTTTCTGTTTTGCTTTTACATACCAGTGCTATTAAGCAGTCAGCATCCTGCTTTGTGGGTGGGAGTGAAAGAGACAGAACAGATTACAGCAAAATTAAGCCTACACAATGTTTTCTTTAGCCTCTCCTAGGCTTGCTCTGATATCACAGCCCTAAGATTAACATATCAAAGGTCTGTTGGAGGGTGGGCTTATAGAAAAGTTAAATGAATCATTTCGGTTTAAGAAATGGCAGGCCCCATTCTACCCAAGAATCTTGACAGTTCTTAGTGGCTTTCCTGTTTAAAGGAGCACAGATCTCTCCTACTGTTTGACCTTAAAGACAAACACAACAAAATACCCCCCCCCCATTTTTCCTCAAGCCAAAGTACTATTTATAAAATAGTTTACATCTTTGTTCAAATTCAAATTATAGACAAACCTCCCTAAATATAAAATACTAAAAGTGCAATAGTATAAATTAAGAGTTTGCAACACATTATACAAACACTGCCTTTTTATTGTACTGCCTTTGATAACATGAAATGTTTTATTCACAACTGCTTATAATGTTGTGAATAATATATGGTGATAAGGTTTGTCTGTAACTTGTTTTCCAACCATGAACTGAAGTCCACACTACATTTTTTTTCATTTAATAGAACAACTGTCCACATAGCAGCTACAAATATTTAAATTAAAATGGTTTGTTACTGACAGGTACTTGCACATGAAAAGCATGCTATCTTTCCCAATAAAACTTCACAATTTTGCCTGCATTGAAATAAACCACTTATTTATAGGGAAACAAAACTTGCTTAAAAAAGAAAGAAAATCACATAGCCAGGTGTATTTTGCAGTACAAAAGCTTCATTTAAGGATGGGGCTAGTATATTGTCTGTTACCCGCATTATCTTTACATTATAAATACTACAGACAAGAATACTGTAATCATACACAGCATTAGGGTACTAAATCACTTATTGAGTGTTAGAGGATTTCTAAAAACATAGTTCAAGTTTCTAGCTAAGTGGAACAAAACCAGCAAAGGAAGAGCTGGACTGAAAATGCCATTGAGAAGCCCCCTTTTACTCAATTGGTGTTGTTTTGTTTTGTTAAAGAACAAAAATTGAAACAATTTAGCTTCCTTCAGTCCCTAATGCAGTTTATCCAATGATTTATCGTTTTACTTAAATTTAAAGAGTTCTGCAGTTCTCGCTAACAGTCAGCTCACTGTTGAAAGCAGTGCCATGCAAATCTTGCAAGACAACTTTTCAGCGGACACGAAGTTATGTATTTCTGCTATGGGGGGAAAAATCTTAAAGGGAACCTAGGCAATTAGGTCACGAAACTAATGCTTAACTCCCAAAACTGTACATGAAAGAACAAATGTTGTGTTGAATAGTGGTCCAACAGTTACTTGTTACTTGAATGCTTTTAATTTATGCCAATCTCTTTATTATCCTCAATAAACCTTGTGAATGGACGGTTGGCTCCAGTTTCAGAACTCGCTTTGTCCAAGCCAATGATGGGAGGGCTACTGCCGGTGCGAGCTTTGTCCATGCCACTGGTAATGTTACTTAAAGACGGAATGGCACTTCCGCCTAAACTTACTGGGAGCTGGGGAATGCCTCCATTCTGTATGACAGAAATTTCATTGTTCTTCATTGCAAGTCCATTAGTAATAGCTGCAGCGTACTGATTCCAAAAATTTGGGTCAACATTCATGGCCCGAGCTGCCAAATCCTTTTGGAACATTTCAGAAAACTTCAGAGCATCACCACCTAACAAAGCCATGGGGTTTTCCACAGAGAGTCGACGGCCACGCCGTGCAGGAGCGTTATTCCACATATGAGTTCCCATGTGAACCTTTAGAGAAAGAACAAAACAAACCAAAGATTGGCAAAATAAGCAAAATTCAAAATGAGCCACACAAAATGAGCCATGAAGAGGCTAGTTTTAAAAGCCAATTTTAGTTTTCACGTGCAATCATTTCAACAACGCTGCTCTTATAAATCACACGCATTTATAACAAAAGGAAGTGCAAAAGTAATGTGCATTTTAACATGCTAAACGAAGGTTAAAAAGAAGCTGGGAAATACTTTATATGAAAGAACAACACGAGAAAGGGTTACTAGGTCCACATGCTATTTGAAAGACTAAAATCTTTTTATCACCTCAAACTTCTAAACAGGGCCGTCTTAAGCATATCTGGTGCCGTGGTGCAAAGATCCCTCCAGCACCCCCCCCCCCATTTCCAAGAGTTGTCGACCTTTTCCCAAGCCTCTGCGGGGATCGAACCCCTCCCATGGAGGCTTGGGAGGCAAGCTGCACGCCCGCCAGCCATATGGTTGAAGGGGCACGGCTGGCAGGTGTGTAGGGAAACGGGAGGCCGCCGGCAAAGTAGCGCAGCACCCCCACTTGCTGGGCCGCCCCTGAGAGGCCGGTGCCCTAGCACAACGCGCCAGTAAGCCCAATAGGAAAGACGACTCTGCTTCTAAAGCCCTGAACTCCAGCGCTGCTATTTGGCCTCGCAGAACAGCTTTTGATTCAGCAGAGGTGTCTGCTCCCATGAGAGAATGGAGGGCCTTTTTTGCCGATCCCCGTTTCCCATGAAACTCCACCTTCCACTCTGTTCTGGAGGGTGACCCAACCCTCTGGAATAGATTTTGGGGGGTTGCAGTGGGAAAAGGGAATCATCAAAAACACACTTCCTCCTTTGATAAATGGATGCTTCTGTGCGTTCAATAACTATTCCATAAGTTGAAATGGAGCACTGGATTTCATCCCTCCTTTCTCAAACTTGTATTTTATATTAACATATTTGGATTCATGCAAGTTCCAGTTTACTGCAATGCAAATATGCACAGGTTGTCAGATTTAGCCAACCAACCACTAAGGCCCACAGAAAGGTTTATTTTAAAAATGAAAAATATAAAACAAACAAGTCTCCATTTTGATCGAGTCTCCAAGAGCCATTTACAAGCCTATACATGTCTACTCAAAAGTAAGACCCATTCAGTTCAAATGAGCTTACTCCCAAGAAAGTGGGTATTACAATTGTTCCATCAGCACAAGCATTTCAGCTTGGCAGATGGAATGATTTTCCCTCTCTTCCAGTGCATTGTCCTGGGGTTTCTCCCTCCCCCCAGGTTGATTCCAGTCCAATTGTGCTGGCTCCCATTACTGCAACTGTTTAGTTGAATATCTCCCTCAATTATCCCCCCCACCAGCTTATGCTTAATGACCTGGATGCAAACATCCCACGATATGAGGAAAAAGATTGCTGATTCACCTCAATATGAAGCCCTTCATGCCCTCTGAAAAGTAGTTTTAGAAGGCTGGAGACCCTCCCAAGTGGCATTTTGGGGAAATTGGAGGCTGTTGACAAGATGGTACTTGTTGAATAAGTAAAAATATGTTTAGTCATATACAGTGGTACCTCGGTTTAAGAACAGTCCGGTTTAAGAACAATTCGGTTTACAAACTATGCAAAACCGGAAATAGTGTCCTGGTTTCAGAACTTTACCTCGGTCTAAGAATGGAAGCCGAATGGTGGAAGGGCACTGGCGGCGGGAGGCCTCATTAGGGAAAGCGTGCCTCGGTTTAAAAACTGTTTTGGTTTAAGAACGGACTTCCGGAATGGATTAAGTTCGTAAACCGAGGTACCACTGTAATGGGATATTTGGATCCAAACCTCGTTTCTTAAATGGCCCCAATCCATCTAATATTAGTTGGGACTGAGTACCATAGAAACTAATAGAAAATGTTGGTCAAAACTAACTTAAGTCATTTGGCTTTATGTGGAGCTTATTCACAATTAATTTTAACTGGATTGGGTCTACTGTCAGTTAAAATGTCTCTCCTTCACTCGTCCCACTAAGCCAGGCATAGGCAAACTCCAGCCCTCCAGACGTTTGGAACTACAATTCCCATCATCCCTGACCACAGGTTGTTAGCTAGGGATGATGGGAATTGTAGTCCCAAACATCTGGAGGGCCGGAGTTTGCCTATGCCTGCACTAAGCCATGATTTAGCACTGCATGCATGAGCCAGAATGAACTTGACCAAAGCCCCAGCCTTCCGTGCTCTCATCTCCTTGTCTTATGCACCTAGAAAAGGACATCACCATTACTTTCCTCTAATCTGGACTTGTTGCCCATAAGTCAGAAATTGTGGTTGATCAAAAATTCTGCTAAGTTTCTAAACAAGTCAACTTCAAGCTATAGATGATGAAGCCAACTTGTTTAACCGAAGTTTGTGATCAGCCATGATCCCTGAGTCTCGCACAGCAAGGAGGCCAACAAAACATAAGAACCTGAGAGCAAATGCCGGTGAACTAGGCCGTGCAGAAGGAGGAGAGTGAAGAGTGTGCAAGTCCAAGGCTTTTCTCAGGCTCCTTTCTATCTCATGCAAACCCTGCAACTGCATCTCACCTTCTTATGTTTACCTGAACTACATAGGGATAAAAGATGGTGCCACAGTTCTACTTTTTAAATGTTGCTTTTGTGACGTATCAAAAACCTGCCACATCCTTGAACGTTGTAAGCAAGTTAGAAGTCACAATTTGCAACAGGGGCTTCCCGCAGAGCATTTGGTAACCCCGACTGACAGACTCTTAATATGTTAAATTGGCATGATCGGCAGGAAGATTCAAATATAATCTGATGTGACTAGGTTTTTTAAAAAAAGATTACTACTGTCATAAATCTCATGGGTAGTCAGGTTTAACTCAAAGTTTTATTCAAAGTGGACCCATTGAAATTAATGAACATGACTAAGGAAGCAATCCTATGGATAAGAAGCTAGCATAATGCAAACCAGTGTCAATTTAGACCAGATCCAAACCCTGTCCAGCAGCAGGACTGCTGCTCCTGCTCTAAGCCTGGAAGAAGGAAAGCAAGTATTTACACCGATGAATCTTAAACTGAGCCAGGGTTGGGGACTTAAAACCAGCTGAGCTGGAGATCCACTGCATCCTAAGGAGCTCATCCCAGCAGATCTTGCCATAGGGTTACCCCTGAAATTAAATACATTAATTTCAGTAGGTCTATGCTGAGTAAAACTCAGTTGAATACAACTCATGCTTCTACAGGACACAAGTGTGCTGGGAATCTATAACCTCAGATTTTCAAGAAAAACAGGATCGACATAATATTTGTTTATAGTTGCAGAGTTAACTTCATGGAGCTGGAGTTTGTTTGTCTTTTAATCATTTTTAAAATACCAAAGTATTCTACCACAATCTAAGAATTCAGGAGCCATCAATATAGGGGAAAATGCATGTCTGAAACACACTTTTTTAAAAAAATGGAATAATTTGTATGCACCCACAAAATTTTAGTTCTTACATTGGGTTCAAAATATATAATGTAAGGATGTCACAATATAACCATACTATCCTCATCCCTTGATTTGGGTAAGAAAACACACACACACACACACAGAATGAGAACACATGAGGTTCAGCACACTGTTAAACTCTCACATTCTTACAATTTAAGTTCTGACATTAAAGATTCCCTTCTTACCTTAAGATTCCCTTTTGTGGTAAAAGCTCTACCACAGATTGTGCAACCAAATGGCTTTTCACCAGTATGGGTGCGCTCGTGTATCTGCAGTGCACTTGCTGAGGAGAAGGTCTTCCCACATGACTGACAGTTGTGCTGTTTGGGAGTCCGGCGTGGCGGTGGTGCCAGCATAGGAGTGATGCCCGGGCTCATCACTGACTGTGGTGCAGCAGGAACCTGGATTCCAGCTGGAAGCGACGGGACCTCGCCCAATGAAATCGGCTTGCTGTGGCCGTTCACTTCCATTTTGATCAGAGTAGGCGCAGTGCTGGTGACCAGGCTAGGAGTGCTTTGGCTGGGACCTAGAGTAAAGTTGGGTTCAAATAACTGAGAAGGCAGCTCTTTTAATTTGTGTGTCAGTAAGTGCTGTTTTAAATTACCCATAGTGGAACACCCACGATTGCAGACTGTACATACAAATGGACGCTCTTTAGTATGGCTGCGGTAGTGAATTTCCAATGCACTCTTACAAGCAAAAGGCTTGCCACAGATATTACAAACAGTACTTTTAAACTTACCACGTTCTCTGTTCAGGAACAGCAGGCTAAAAGGAGCTTCTTCTTTGATGAGTGGCCTTCCCGGGTTGGTGGCTGTCAAATCCAGTGCACCTCCATTTTCAACAGTAGGTGGTGGTGGACTGTCAGGTTTTTCTGTCTTTAATTGTATTTCTTGGTGTTCTTCCTGGTTGCTAAAACCTGGGGATTTTGATCTGAAACTTTCACTGATGCTGTTTTCAGGAGACAGCGCCTGCATGGATGAAGAAGATTCAGACATTGCAGGGCTCCCTGCACTCTGGCTCTCCAGATCTCCAACAGCGGACGAGGAATCGTTGCTTAAATGGTCACTTTCCCCTGACCCATTTTCTAATGATTTCAGATTGGTCAACTGTTGACAGTTCATGACAGAATCAATCATTTTCATTTGATTTTCCAGAGCAGTAATGCTAGAAATTACAGATGGGGGGGAAGGTGGGCATGAAGTGGAATAAGGTAGGAGTGGTTTGGAGGAGTCACTTGTGTTGTCTTTTAACTCTGGGTCCTCTTCCATGGAATTTTCATCAATGTCATCATCGTAGTTGCTCAGCGTTTCTGCGTTCTTTTCATCAAAGGAAAGCTCCGAGTCCATAGCATCTTGGAAGCCCTCTGGTAATGGCGTGTTTGGAATTTGCCCACCCATGTGCATACGAATATGCTGCTGAAGAACAACAGCATTTGTAAATTTCTTCTGACAAATGGGACACGAATGCTGTACTCTAAGTGGTGGCTTCGCTCGATGAACTCCAAAATGTGTTTTTAGATTGCCTTTTGTAGTGAATGCACGTCCACAAATTTTGCATTTAAATGGTCTTTCTCCTGTATGGGTTCTGTAATGCATCTTGAGAGCACTCTGACAACTGAGCACACGGTGACAAATGACACATTGATTTGGATCTGTCATCTTCTTATCGATGTTCTCTACGAGCTGTTGCAGTTTTGAGGTTTCTGATGTTTGCATAGAGTCTAGTAGACCACCAAATGGAAACTTAGCCTTGAATTGATCAGACAATGCTGGAAGAACAGGGTTCGGGATGCTTGTGGAGATGCCGTCCGTAACAGCGTTAGGAACTGGAGATGGGGGTACTGCAGAAACCTGCCCACTTAGAGAATTTTCTCCTAGCCTTGCATTTGTCACAGGAATGTTGACAGGTTCCGTTTTAGTCATAGCTGAACCACTATGGATTGGTTGTGGGGATTCTGCAGACAAAGGAATGCCTGACTCAGAGTTGTTTAGGCTTGGGGATAAGGAAGTGCATTCGCTTGGCGCAGGGGATGGCCTTTGGGGTGACCTGCTCATAGGAGTAATACTTGGGGAATCTCCATAGCTGCTCACCCCTGGTATTGTTGGAGGAAGCTGCAACCCAATTGAAGCTGGAACGGTTGGTAACACAGGCTTGCTATCCAACCATGTAGTAACTGGCTTTTCGGGTGGCAACGACATTCCGTACGGAATCCCAGAACAAGTGGGAACATTGTCGAGGTATTCTGGGACCGGATATGGATTCATCTGAATATGTGGATACTTCTCCTTATGCCTTTGAAAATGGACTTTCAAATTGCCTTTCGTAGAAAACCGATTCCCACATATGTTACACTTAAAGGGTCTTTCTCCGGTGTGCGAGCGCAAGTGTATCTGCAGAGCACTGTCACTCCCAAAGACCTTGGCACAAAACCTACACTTATGTTTGAAAAAGGGATCCTCAGAACTTGTCTTGGGTTCAAACACAGATACATTTGGTGGCTTCCCTTTGCGGTGCTTCATAAGAGCAGACAGAGGATCCAATGCATTAGCAGTCGCAGCGATGCTAACCAGTGGGTTGGGGAAAATTACACTACTGGATGACGTCTGAGGTAGAAGTGGGTTTGGCAGGCTGGAAGCTGAGGTGAGGAGATTTCCAGGTCCTATTGAAGGTGGAGTTGGAGTATTTTGGGGCTGGGAACAGCTGCTAGTACTATTTGACACAGAAACAGGTGTTAATGAAGCAGTGATTGCATTAGAACAGGACGGTGTGCTTGACTCATTGGGGGCAGAAGAACCGTTGCTTGACATGTTCGGGGTGCTTGCGCCCGACGTAGGCCTTGAAATGTGCTGAGAGCTCTCAAAGGCAGTTGGTGGGTTGCTAGTGGCCTGTGCCACTATGGCAGAAGGAACGACTGCTGCTAACTGAAGGGCAGAGTTTGCGGCAAACCCTTGGAGCTGGTTCGAGGCTTGCACAGGAGCGCTCTGAGAAGGAGCAGCTGGATTGAGAGTGGGACGCAGCGGCTGCCGATTCATCATGGCCACCTGGCTCCGGATTTGCTCAATGAGCTGCAACTGGTGAATCTGTTGCTGCTGCAATGCCATCAGCTGCTCGAGAATCATGGGGATTGCCATTGCCGTGACCCCACTGGCCGTGGTTGCAGTAGCCGCGCACCTTGTACTCTGCGAGAATTGTGCAACAGCCACTTTAGTGCTCAGCAAAGTCTCTAAGGTTACATTAGTGTTTGGCATGTTATAACTTGTCAAGGAAGATGGTTCAC